GGAGAGAGCTCTGTGGGCATGTGCACACTGTGGAGAGGAGAGAGCTCTGTGTGCATGTGCACTGTGAGGAGGAGAGAGCTCTGTGGGCATGTGCACACTGTGGAGAGGAGAGAGCTCTGTGTGCATGTGCACTGTGAGGAGGAGAGAGCTCTGTGGGCATGTGCACACTGTGGAGAGGAGAGAGCTCTGTGTGCATGTGCACTGTGAGGAGGAGAGAGCTCTGTGGGCATGTGCACACTGTGGAGAGGAGAGAGCTCTGTGTGCATGTGCACTGTGAGGAGGAGAGAGCTCTGTGGGCATGTGCACACTGTGGAGAGGAGAGAGCTCTGTGTGCATGTGCACTGTGAGGAGGAGAGAGCTCTGTGGGCATGTGCACACTGTGGAGAGGAGAGAGCTCTGTGTGCATGTGCACTGTGAGGAGGAGAGAGCTCTGTGGGCATGTGCACACTGTGGAGAGGAGAGAGCTCTGTGTGCATGTGCACTGTGAGGAGGAGAGAGCTCTGTGGGCATGTGCACACTGTGGAGAGGAGAGAGCTCTGTGTGCATGTGCACTGTGAGGAGGAGAGAGCTCTGTGGGCATGTGCACACTGTGGAGAGGAGAGAGCTCTGTGTGCATGTGCACTGTGAGGAGGAGAGAGCTCTGTGGGCATGTGCACACTGTGGAGAGGAGAGAGCTCTGTGTGCATGTGCACTGTGAGGAGGAGAGAGCTCTGTGGGCATGTGCACACTGTGGAGAGGAGAGAGCTCTGTGTGCATGTGCACTGTGAGGAGGAGAGAGCTCTGTGGGCATGTGCACACTGTGGAGAGGAGAGAGCTCTGTGTGCATGTGCACTGTGAGGAGGAGAGAGCTCTGTGGGCATGTGCACACTGTGGAGAGGAGAGAGCTCTGTGTGCATGTGCACTGTGAGGAGGAGAGAGCTCTGTGGGCATGTGCACACTGTGGAGAGGAGAGAGCTCTGTGTGCATGTGCACTGTGAGGAGGAGAGAGCTCTGTGGGCATGTGCACACTGTGGAGAGGAGAGAGCTCTGTGTGCATGTGCACTGTGAGGAGGAGAGAGCTCTGTGGGCATGTGCACACTGTGGAGAGGAGAGAGCTCTGTGTGCATGTGCACTGTGAGGAGGAGAGCGCTCTGTGGGCATGTGTACACTGTGAAGAGGAGAGAGCTCTGTGTGCATGTGTACGCTGTGAGGAGGAGAGAGCTCTGTGTGCATGTGCACTGTGCAGAGGAGAGAGCTCTGTGTGCATGTGTGCACTGTGAAGAGGAGAGAGCTCTGTGTGCATGTGTGCACTGAAGTGAAGAACCTACTGCACGAGGTGCAGACTCACCAGGGCAGAGAATAAGGAAAGCTGGAGTGGGTGCTCTGGTGAGCTTAGCATGGGCTAAAGGTCTCTTATACAGGTGTGAGTTTTGAAAGAATATATGCCTCTTCACAGAGGGACAGGAAGGAAGGTTGCTGGAACCTGTGAAGCAGGAGTTGGGGGTATTTATTCCTATGGCTTGTTTTCATTTCTTACGAACAGTTTTAGGCTGAGTTTGAGCAAGTGAAATACTAAGGACCTTGGTAACTTCCTGTGCTGAACAGATTTTGGATAAATTTAGGACAGTTAAAATCATGCCAGACTTAAAAGGACATTATGCCATGATCAAACGTGAAGCTTCTTCCAGCAAACCAAGGTTGGCATTTTGAGAGTCTTGCTGTGTAGCCCAGGCCAAACTTGAACTTGGTATCCTCTTGCGTCACCCTCTTGAGTACTGGGATTATAGGCATGTACCCCAATACCTAGACCATTAGATTGGTTTTATATTAGAAAATTAGGGACAGTTCACTGTTATAACCTAAAATGTAACAATATCTGATCATTTTAATTGATGTAAAAACATTTGACAAAATCCAGTGTCCTTTCATGTTAAAAGTGCTGTATAAACCTGGAATTGAAGGGTTACTTCCTCAAACTGTAGCCCATAACTAAAATCCTTGGCAATGGTGAAAGACTGAGAGCTTTCTGTCCAAGATCAGGGATAAGATAAAGATATTCATTCTTACATTTCAGTTAAAAATTCTGTTAGATGTTCTGGCCAGTATAATTGGGCAAGAAAAAGAAAAGGTATCGAGATCCGAACAAAAGAAGTAGAACTCTACTTATGATTCATAATCATTTCTGTGGAAAAAATACATATGTATCTGTAATGGATTAGAAGACTCACTGCTACTAAGATACAAACTCTCAGAATGACTCTGGAGATCTGCAGCTTAATCCCAATCAAAGTCTCAGCAGGCTATTTTCTAGAAAAATGACATGGTTCTTGTTAAGGTGTGTGAAAATATAAAGGCCTTAGAATATTCAAAGCAAGTCTACAAAATAGTAACAGAGTTGACAAAATAGTAACAGGATGGCCTACTAGAGTATCCAGTAATCATAGCATGACATCAACTTTATGTTAATGACACTTGTATCAAAAACAGTCTACAAATAATGAACCCACCCACATATAAACTACTGATTAAAAAATTTTTATTTATTTTTATTTACATATGTGTTCCCGCTTGTCCGTATGTGTACTACATGTGTGCAGGGCTTTCAGAGACCAGAAAGGTATTGGAATTGGAGTTAGAGGCTTTTGTGGGCTATCTGATATGGGTACTGGGAACCAAACCCAGCTCTTCTGCAAAAACAGCAAGTGCTCTTAACCACTGAGCCATCTCTCCAGCCCCTAAACTATGCATTTTTGAGAAAGAGCCAAAGGCAGTGAAGTTCAGAAAAGGCTTCTTAAGAACTGTTACTAGAACAATTGTGAAATCCATGTGTGAAAATTCAATCCATACCTTATACTATATTTTTTTAAAAAGTTAGTATATGTAAATGTAAACTGAAAGAAAATTTGCAGAAGAAAATGGGAAAAATCTTTCTTTGACTTTGGTAAAGATTTAAAATTTTTATGTGTGTGAATGTTCTGTCTGTATGTATGTTAGATGCACCACATGTGTGCAGTGCCTGTTGAGGCCGTAAGAGGGTATCAGATCCCCTAGAACTGAAGTTATGGGTAGTTGTTAGCCACCATGTGGGTGCTGGGAATTGAACCAAGGTCCTCTTCAGGAGCAGCCAGGCTCTTAACTGCTGAGCCATGTCTCCAACCCCCAAACAAAATTTTTTTTTTAAAGATTCAACACTAAAATCAGCTGAATGTGGTGGTAGTATGCCTGTAATCCCAGCACATGGGGGGCAGAAGGAGGGGGCTCTCTGTGAGTTTGAGGGTAGCCTGGTCCACATAGTGAGTTCCAGGCCAACCAGGGCTATATAGTGAGACCCTGTCTCAGAAAAACAACCAGGGGCTGAAGAGATGGATCAGCAGCATTGGCTGCTCTTGCAGAGGACTTGTGTTTGGTTCCCAGCACCCACATGGTGGCTCACACCTGTTCATAGCTCCAGTTCCAGGGGATCTAATGCCCTCTTCTGACCTCTGTGGGCATTGTACAACACAGGTGCACTTACATACATGCAGGCCAAACACTCATACACATAAAATAAAAATAATAAATTTTAGAAAATGAAGCAAACAAACAAAAGACTCACATTGAAATTAAAATCATAAAAGGCAAACTTTTCTTCAAAAGACACTTGGGATGCTCTAAAAATGCACCTGTGCTTTACACACATGTATGCACAGATTGAGAAGACAAGCCACAGACTCTGAGGAAGATCTTTGCCAAGCATATGTCTTTTTAAACTCTCAAAGTTCAAGAATCGGGAGAAAATCCAGTTAAGATATCTGAAACTATTTTTACAATGTACAACAAAGATCTACGAATGAAATAAAAAGTTGTTAACAGCATTACTTAACAGGAAAATGAAAATCCAAACCAAATAATATACTACTATTGTGTTAGCTTTCTTGTTGCTATGACAAAATACTTGACAGATCAGCTGAGAAGAAACAAAAGATTTGCTTTGTTCATGGTCTCAGAAGTCTCAGTTCATGATGGTGGGGAGGTGTGGGGGCATCATGGCAGTCAGGACAGTAATAGGAAAGGCAAGATAAAGCCCTCCAGGACATGCCCCAGTGACCCACTTCCTCTACCCTGGTCCCACTTCGCACAGTTCTAAGGTGTGCTCTACTGCTCTCTCCTAGATGTCCATCTCTCCAAGTTAACAAGACAACCATCACAACTCTACACATTAATCAGAATGGCTACAATTTTAAGAACTGACCATAGCAAATGTTAGTGAGCTACAGAGGAGCTGGCTTACACACTGCCTATGGGGGTGTAAAATGGAACAATTTTTAATAAAATAATTTGACAGTTTCTTAGAATCATTAACATATATTTGCCAGGTGTGCTAGCCATTCCACTTCCTGACCTCTCCGAAGATAAAAGGAAATATGTATTTATATGAAGACTTAGACATGAGTGCCCACAGCAGCATGGTTTGTAATAGTGGAAAGGTGGAAACAATGGAACTTGTCCAACAGTGATTGGTAAATAATTATTACCTGTCAGTGCGAGTGACTCTCAGAATCGCTGTGCTGAGTGAAGGAAGCAAGACAAAGAGGGGTATACACTGCATAGTCCCACTTTTATGAATCCTGAAATAGACTGTGATTTTAGAAAATGGGGCATGGAAAGGGAAAGGAGAGGAAGCTTGGCATGCTCTCTCAGTGTTGACTGGGGAAGTCCCAGTATATACATGCCTACACTTACCAACTCACACGTTTTAAATAGTTTATTGCATGTTAGTTAAATCTATAAAATTATTCACTGAAAGAAGTCTAACTTTTTTTGTCAAGGTAGATTGTGGTACAGATGGAAATTAAAGAATCAAGGGGGATTGCAATAATAATGGTTACTTGCATGAGAGAGTCACACAGATTATGCTGATTCTGTAGTTTTGATTCTCAAATACCTCCCAGTTTGTAAGGTTTGAGTGTCAGTCTGCATGTGAACATGAAGGTGATGCAAAGAGTGACCTTCCTTCCCACACCTTTTTTTTTTTTTTAAAGGAGTGACAGTTCATTCAGATTCTTTGTGTTCTTCTTCGTCTACATTTGTCAGTTTGCTGTCCATGTGCTCCAGGCTGCAGGATTTCATAACTGGGGGAACTGGTAAGTTTACTACTTGTAAGTTGTTAATTTAATATTTGTTCAAAAAATTTGGTGTCTTAATGTAATTAATACAAAAAACTCAAGATTAGCCAAAGGAAGTAAATAAAAACAAAAATGTTTTTAAAAAACAACTTTAAAACACCCTAGATATGTCATTCTCTTTAAAGAGTATGGTCTCATTAAAACATACACACACACACACACACACACACACACACACACACATTATATCCATTTAAAATAAAATGTGCATGCATTGGGCAATGGTAAGAGTAATGCCAAGGAGATGAAGGGTGATTGGAGAGCCAGCAGAGACAAAGGCTGGAGAGGAGAGGAAAGAGCTTCAAAAATCTGAAAGAAAAGGGTCCATATTATGCATAAAGCATTGCTTTAAGTATACACACATACACACCCACACGGACACTTATCTTTGGGCATGCATATAGTGTGCGTAAATACACACATATACACACCCACACATCCCTTTCAGCAGTAGAATCATTCTCAGCATGGCAGGATGCTCACTGAAAGGGAGTAGAGAGTGCTCAGGAGGAGACATTCTGGGTCCAGGCTAGCGTAATAGCAGATTTCCATTACTTTCCTTATTCCTTGGAGCAAACATCCCTTGAGCGAAATGAAGTGTGGAAGAGAATACATTTTAAAATGCCCATCTCTCCCTGCTTTATGGTAAACCACCCTCCTCCCAATCTCTGTGTGCCACAGAGGTGTGCAGCATACTCTGTGTCCGTTAACTAAAATTGAAGCAAGCATATAACAAGAGTGTGCCGAGGACTTGAATTTAGTGTGCTGCACCTGAATGGGAGTGATTGGCAGACAGACAGCTCTCGTCAGTTTTGTAAAGTGCCTACTGGGCATATGTACTTGCAGTGAATGGATTTAGATGTTTTCAATTAGTTCTTGAAAAAAAAAAGCCTTTTTCATTATTATTAAGTAGTGGTTAGTCTGGCATGTGAGGGAAAGGAAATGTTTTAAAGGTTTAAGAGTGCACTGCTTTAATGTATATATGTTTTTTATTCTTGAGAAACTGAAGTAATTCCACTGCTTTTTAATATAAACTTAGGAGGGGAATGTCAAAATTGAACATAACACCATGTGACTAGGTAACACAGAATGAGGATAGATACTAGTGAGGACAGATACTGTTTTCAGCTAGACCTTGTATAATTTGTGTATTTTAAAATTTAACTAAAATTGACACTGATAATCAAAATACAGATCATTTCCATCACCAAAAGATTCCTCGTGTTGCTTTTTGTGTAGCTATATTCTGTTCTCCTGTCTCCACTCCTCCTTCACTCCTGGCAGCCACTAATTCATCTGTCTTTTCTGTTATTTTGTCACTGTAAGAAGGTTATAAATGGAATATTCTCTATTTATTTACATTTGAAGACTTTTTTTTTTTTTTTTTTTTTTTTTTTTTTTTTACTGAAGAAAAAGTTTATTTTGGCTTATGGTTCCAGAAGATTAGAATTCACCATGGAGGGCTGGAGAGATAGATGGCTCAGCAGTTAAGAGCACTGACTGCTCTTTCAGAGTACCCAAGTTCGATTCCTCGCACCCACATAGTGTCTAACAATTGTCTGTAACTCCAGTTCCGGGGATCTGATGCCATCTTCTGAGCTCCACTGCATTCTGAGTTCTGCGGCATCGCACAGACAGGGGTGCACCTACTTACATGAAGGCAATACACTCATACACATAAAATAACAATAATAAATAAAATAGTTTTAAAGAATTCATCATGGTAGGGAGGCACAACAGTGGGAGCAGGAAACTGAGAGATCACAACTTTAATGGCAAACACAAAGCCATTGGCTTTTTTTTTAATTCCACATAATTCTTTCAGGATTCATGCATATTGTTACCTGTATCCATAATTTCTTTTTATTCTTGAATAGTATTCCATGGTATAGATGTACCAGTCTGCTTAACCAGTATCAGTTGAAGGATATCTGGATTGTTTCATTTGGGAGCTATTGTAAATAAAACTTCCATTAGCATTTGGGATCAGTTTTTGTGGGCACATAGGTTCTAACTTCTGTTGGCCATGAGTGTAATTTTAAGTAATTAATTCATATGGAAGTCATATGTTTGGTTTGTAAAAGAAATTGACAAATGTTTTCAGAATGACTATACTAGTTTATATTCTCTCCAACAGTTATGAGAGATTTAGCCTCCACATCCTTGCCAACAGTGAGTGTTCTCACTGTCTTTATCTTTGCTATTCTGATAGGGGTGTGTGTATGTGAGGAGGGGGTCAAGATCTTTCATTGTGGTTTGATTTTATTTGCATTTCCTTAATAACCGACTTACCCATTTTCTAAATTAAGGTGGTTTTTGTTGTTATTTCTGGTGTAACTGAATACATTAGTTACTTTTCTCATCACTGTAACAAAACGCTTGAAAACTGTTGAAGGGAAGAATTTTCGCTCATGGTTTCAGGGAATTTTCATCATCATCATGGCAGGGAAAGTTTGACAGGCATGCACAGGAGCCCTTCAGCCAATATCAGCCCAGAAGAGCATGAGGCAGCAGTTTCACATGGTGGCTGATTGGGAAGCAGGAAGTGGAACAGGAAGCAGCCAGGGGCAATAAACCTACAGGCCTGCCCCCTGTGGCCTGCTTCCTTCTGTAAGGTTCCAGCTCATAAAATTGCCTTAACCTTCCAAAACAGTGTCACCTGCTGTGGCCTAAGTGCTCAGACATGTGAGCCTGTGGGATCATTTCACATTCAAACCTTAATACTGAACTTTAAAAAAATTATTTATTATTTTTATTTTGTGTCTATGTATATTGCCTGCATGTAGGTAGGTGCACCTGTGTCACACAGTGCCTGTGGGAGTCAGAAGAGGGTGTTGGAGCCCCTGGAACTGGAGTTACAGGTGGTTGTTAGCTGCCACGTGGATGCTGGGGATCAAATCTGGGTCCTCTGCAAGAGCAGCCAGTGCTCTTAACTGCTGAGCCACCTCTCCAGCCCCAGTTCTGAGCTTTAAAATTTCATTTTATACTCTAAATGCTAATCATTTGTTGGATATGCAGTTTACAAACATTTTCTTCCCTAGTTGAAAATGAACATTTAAAAATGTAATAAAAAACTCATAACTGAAAGAAAAAGGCAGTAATCTGGTGGTAAATGCTTGAGGCTCAGGAATTTTGTTTGCTCTTACATTCACACTATACTTATTAGCCTTGTGAGCATGGACACTGAAAGTCTGAGTCAGTTCCTCATCTGTGAAATAAGCAGCCTTTGACTTACAGGTTGGCTGAGAAAACTAATTAAGTTATATATAAAGAACTCCTGAGTGCGGAGCGTGTGTTCAAATGCTGTCATTTTTAAGAGGCGCGTTAACTCTTTATTCAATTCACTGTTGTTCTTTCCTAGTGGTTGGATTTCATCCCTCACTGGTCTCAACAGAAACATTCCCGTTGGAATCATGATGATAATCATCGCAGCACTCTTCACAGCGTCAGCAGTCATCTCACTAGTTATGTTTAAAAAAGTAAGTGAGAGTTCATCTCCAGAAGTGAATTCTGACCTTGTTGGAAAGCTCTCATTTTCCTATATTGCCTCTGAATTGCTCTAACTCCAAGTCGTTGTTTTGCATGTTTGCTCTCCAAGGATCGCATTTTACATAGGTACTGAAAAAATTGTATGTCTTTATTAAAAAATGTTTTATTTATTTATATTTTTTGTGAATAAGCATATTGCCTGCATGTATGTAAGTGCACCCATGTCATGGAATGCCCACAGAGGTCAGAAGAGGGCATTAGATCCCCTGGAACTGGAATTACAGATGGTTGTGAGCTGCCATGTGGGTGGTGGAAATCGAACCTGGGTCCTCTGCAAGAACAGCCAGTGCTCTTAATCACTGAACCATCTCTCCAGCCCCCAGAATTGTATTAAATTCACATAAAAAGTGAATACAGATTGAATATCCCAGATCTGAAAATCTAAAACTCAAAATGCTTAAAATAAGAAACTTTTGGAGCACTGACCTTCTATCACAAGAGGACAATTCCTTGTCTGATCTCCTGGGATAGATTGTAGTTAAATGGCAGACTCATTAAAATGCTGTGTAAAATTACCCATAGGCTATGTATATGCAGTATGTATGAAAAATAAATGAATTTCACATTTAGGCTTGAGTCTCATTCCTAAGAAGTCTCATATGTGTACAAGTATTTAGAAGTCTGACACATTTTTGGTGCCAAACATTTCAGATAAGGCTACTCAGTGTGTACTTTTTAAATCCTGTTAACCAAAAGCTTCATTGTGAGTTAAGAGACCAAACACAGTTTAGAAATTCAGATATTTTGGGGCTGGAGAGATGACTCAGTGGTTGAGAACACTGGCTGTTCTCACAAAAGGCCTGGGTTCGCATCCCAGCATTCACATGGCAGCTAACAACTGTCTGTGACTCCAGTTCCAGGGGATCCAATGCCCTCTTCTGTTCTCTGCAGAGGCATTGCAAGACATGGATGCACTTACATACATTCATACACATGAAAAAGAAATCTGGATATTTTATGCACTATAATCTTTTCCATATAAACCTTATTAGCTTGATTAATAAATACAAGTAAAATTATTGCACAGGGTACATATTTTTATCCATATTTAAATTTTAAAGACACTTTTTTCTTTAAAAAATATTTTATTACTTAAAATGTAAAAAATTCTGAGAATTTCATGCATGTGTATTATATTTGCATTATTTCTATCCCTCTTAGTCCTCCTCCAGCTCCTCCCATAGCCCCCTTCACAATTTCTTGTCCTCTTCTTTAATTATTGTTGTTACATATACATATATACATTTCTATCTATCATCTATCTATCTCTCTATCATCTATCTAGTTATCTGTCTATATATCTATAAATATATTCTGAGTCCATTTAGTGGTGCTCACATGTATGTGTGTTTAGGGCTGCACACTTGGGATTAGATAACTTCTCAGGGAGCTTGTCCCTAGAGAAAACAGGTTCTCCCTCCCTCAGGCATTGATTGCCTGTAGCTCTTCATCCTGAGGTGGGACCCCATGAAATCTACCCCATCCAAATTGGTATGGCAAATGGTTTTGTCATTATGAAGATCTTGTTAAACACCATACTGTCGAGATTTCATTGGTGTAGTGTCCCTACTATGTCTGGAACGCATTAACTAGCAGCAGGTGTCTTGTCCCTCTGGCTCTTACAGTCTTTCCACTCCCTCTGCTGAGATGTTTCCTGAGCCTTAGGTATAGAGGTTGCCTTGTAGAGGTATCCCTTTGGACTGGGCAGCTCACAGTCACTTATTCTGTGTGTTTGACCAGTTGTAGAACTTTGTAATAGTCTCTATCTGTTGCAAGAAGAATCTTTGATGAGCGGTGAGACTACACTTGTCTGTGAATATTAGGATACATATTTCAAATACAGTAAGAAATTGCTGGGTGTGGTGGTATACGCTTTTAATCCCAGTACTCAGGAGGCAGAGGCAGATGGATCTCTTTTAGATGAGCTCAAGGCCAGCCTGGTCTGCATAGCAAGTTCCAGGCCAGCTGGGGCTGCAAGGAGGCCCTGTCTCAAGAGAAAGGAAAAGAAAAAATAGTAAGAAATTACATTAGTCTAGAGAAGTGACAGAAGTAGGTTCTTCTCTAGCAGCTGTGACCTCTCCAGCCATGTATACTTGGCCATGTTCACAGTACCGTGCATAGATTCCCTCCTACTGAGCAGGCTTTAAGTCCAACTAGACAGCTGTTGATTACCCCCAAGATAAAAGTGCCACTATTGCACCAATAAAGATTATTTGCTGGGCTTATCATTGTGTGGGACACTAAATTATTCAAGCATATAAAATGAACTGATGATAGGTTCAAAACTGAGACATGACATGAATCTTGTTTTTAGTGATGACCTAATTATCTTTGCTACACTTTTTTTTCTATAGAACTTCCATGTCTGTTTTTACAGCCTTGACAAAGAATCATTGTAGTTGGGCATGATGGTGCATACCTATAATCTCAGCACATAGGAGGCTGAGTCAGAACCTCAAATTAAGCCCAGCTTGGGTTACTAGTGACTTCCAGATCAGCTTGTATTACACATGAGACCCTATCGCAAAGGAAACAAAACAAAGCAAACAAAAAGCATTACATAGGTGAGGGATAAGCCAGTGTTTTTCTTTGTTTCTTTAAAGTTTCATTGTATTTAATCATTTATACCCATTCAAACATGAAATAGATGCCCTGGGACTAACCCCTTGATTTTAAAACCATGAAGACTTTTTGGTGGGACCTATTGTCTTTTTTATCAGCAAGTATTAATTGTAGTAAATAATGGAGTTCATTTTGGCATTTTTGTGTTCTTCTATAACATATTTTGAGCTCATTCAGTCCCCATTGCTTTTTCTTGTTCTCTTCCCTTCCCTAACCTCCTTCCTGGCCCCTTCCTCTTCAGTGGGCCTCATTTTAACAATAACAAAAAATATTTAAAAAAATATTTTATTATTTTTTACTTTATGTATATGAATGTATTGCCTGTGTGTGAGTGTACCTGTGTGGTGCAGTGCCTGCGGAGGTCAGAGAGGGCATTGGATAACCTTGAACTGCAGTTTCAGATGGTTGTTAGCCACCATGTGGGTGCTGGGAACTGAACTGAATCCTCTGCAAAAACAGTCAGTACTCTTAACCACTGAGCCTTCCCTCTAGCCCCGCCTCCCCCAAAATAAACCTTACTTTCTTGATTTTCTTTTATTTTCTGGCAATTTCAGAATACACACACACACACACACACACACACACAATACATTTAGAAATAATTTTGTCCCTATATTTGGAGCTCTTGCACTCTTGAACTATGGTACTTCTTGCCCTTTAGGTTTTCATCTTTCTCAGAACCTGGCACAGACTTGGCTATGTTCTTTCTGACCATGTTTTTCTGCTCTTTTTTTTTTTTTTTCTTTTAGAAGCTTTGAACTTTTTTGCACAAAGCACCTAGACTATTGAAACTCAGCTCTGTGAAGTTACCAAGTCCCCTACTAATAACATTTTTTTTTTCTTTTTCAATCTTCCCTCCTCCTGGACCACAGCAGTCTCTGTACTGAGGAGGCCACTCTTCCCATGCCTTTGTGATTGTGCTCTGTGGGGGCTATTCCCCTGTGTCTGTTTCTTCATCCAGCTTGTAAAGGTTTCAGATGCAGTTAGCTGTCTGCTCTGAGCTGTATGCACTTTTTCTTGGGAATTTCATCTTCACTGTGTCTTCTCTACCTGGATGACTTAATGTCTTGGAATTGGAAGAGATAATGTTTTGCACAAGCCCTTACTTACATCTTCAGCCATTGAATTACATACTTTACAAGGTTAAATGATGTAGTATAAATGGTTTTTTTTAATTTATTTTTTTATTTTTTGTGTGTGAGTGTATTGCCTACATGTATGTGAGTGCACCCGTGTCATGCAATGCCATGGAGGTCAGAAGAGGGCGTTGGACTCCCCTGGACTGGCCTTAAGGATGGTTCGTAGCCACCATGTAGGTGCTGGGAATTGATCCCAGGTCCTCTGCAAGAGCAGTCAGTGCTCTTGAGCACTGAGCCATCTCTCTAGCCCCTGTAGTATAAATTTTATTTCAGTGAAGATTACTTTCTTTTAGGTAGATCAGTTAATTTTTAAAAATTTTACAAGTATAATTTTTGGATGGGCTATTTGACAATGGCCAACTCTCCAGACATCTTTAACACAGAGGCCACTGCGTTGGCTCTTTTCATACAGGCATTGTTCTACTGCATAGCAAATGGTGGACATGCAGCAACAGATTTGAGGGCTATTTAGTCGGTCAGTAACATAATAAACATAAAACAGACATAAAAGTACCAGTACCAGTAATGTGTAGAATGAAGCCCACAGGTCTACCTACTTAGGAGGTTGGAGCTAGTAAGAGAGCCAAATGGTTTTATCTGAAAATAACTACCACGGAGGTTCCTTTGATCCCAATTTTGAAAATACGTAGTTGGGAAATTGAGGAAAGAGACCCTGGAAGGACTGACAGTCTATGCGGATGGAGTAGGCAAAGTGGCTCAAATCTTCTAGATCAAGAGGGTGTTTTAGAAAGAGTAAAATAGTTGGGTATGACATTGCATGCCTTTAATTCATGCAGTCAGGAGAATTGCTCTTCCCATAGGCTACTTGCTTCTGACCATCCAGCACCAAGTTCAGAGCAGTTTGGATTGATTTTTTTCAGATTTGATAAGACTTTATAATATTTGGATTAAGAATACAAGTCTGGTTTAGTGAAGACTATCAGTACTATTCAGAGGTATACTTCAGTTACATCAAGTAAAGAGCAACTAGTTCAAACTGCTGAAGTAAGTAAGAGCACGAAGCCTCATCTTGAATGCCTTGGATAGTTGAGACCTATGTTCAGACCAGCAACACAAGATTATCGAACAACTTGTAGACCACAAGCCAGTTCATCCAAGCAGTGCTATTCCAGCTAGCCAAGAGCTGTACCTGTGAGGAACCGGCTTACTTAGTTGTGAAGGCTGTGAAATGAGTTGAAGTCTACATGGCGGACCCTTAGGAGGGTGTCTTAGTTTGCTTTCTGTTGCTATGACACCATGACCAAAACAATTTGGAGTGGGGTGGGAGGGAGAAAGGGTTTATTTCAACTTAAACTTCCAGGTTACAGAGTCCATTTTTGAGTAAAATGAGGGCAGGAGCTGGTACTGAAGCAGACACCATGAAGGAACATGGCTTCCTGGCTCATTCTCTGGTATAGCTCAGGCCCAGGGACAGTGCTGTCTACAGTGGGCTAGCCTTCCTACATCAGTCATCAGTTAAGACGGTCTCTTACAGACATGGCCACAGGCCAGTCTGCTTGAAGAAATCCTTCAATTAAGGTTCCTTCTTTCCAGGTGACACCATCCAGGCTGTGTCAAGTTGACCATAAAAACTAACTAGCACAGAAGGGCAGGCTGGAACTGCAGCAGCAGCTGGAGCCCATGTCACAGCTGGACCTCTTCTTCCTTAGAGAAACCTTGATTCTGTTCTTACTGCCTTTTCATTAAAAAGGGGGTTTTATGGTGGTGATTTTTGGGGGGGTTGTTACTTTTTGTTTTTGAGACAAAGTCTAACTATGTAGCCTTGGCTGGCCTGAAACCCACTGTGTAGACCAGGCTGGCCTCAAACTTAGAGCTACACCTGCCTCTGCCTCTGGAGTGCTGTGATTAAATGCATGTTCCACCATGCATGGCTAAAAAAAATAAAGAATTATTTTTGGTTATTTGTGTGTATGTGTGTGTATGTGCACACATGTGCACATTATGTACAGGTGCCTGCAGAGGCCAGAGAAAGGCATTAAATACCCTGGAGTTGCCCAAAATGGGTGTTGGGAACTGAGCTCCAGTCTGCCGCAATAATAGCAAACACTCTTAACCACTGAGCTATCTCTTCAGTCCCACTTACTCTCTTTTATTAGACTGGCTCAGACTCAGAACATCTAGAATGTTCTGTACATATAGTAAACTAACAGTGAATGGTCATCTCATCTATAAAATACCTTCACAGTAACACCTTAATTGGTGTTTGGTTGAACACTGTGGCCTAACCATCATGACACCATTCTTTAGGGAGAATTCCTTTATTATTTCAGGTGTATTATTGGATGGGGTTTTTTGTTGTTTTTTGTTTTTGAGACAGATTATCATGTAGCCCAGGCTAGCCTCAAATTCACCTTGTAACCAAGGATCATCCTGATCTTTCTGCCTCCACCTCCCAAGAGCTGGAACTGTAGATGTGTACTGCCACACTCAGTTTTATGCAGTGCTGGGGATGGAACTCAGGACTTCATGTTTGCTAGGGGAGCACTCTTAACAACTGAGTGCTAGCCTACTTTTGGAAATCTTTTTCAGTAATGAAGGTTTGTTCTGGTTTTGCTTGTTGTTTTGTTTGGCTTTGAAAATGAGGTTCTTGCTATATAGCCTAAGCTAACCTCAGCCCTGAGCTAGAGCCAGCCTCCTGCCTCTCAGTCCCTGGGTTGCTGGGACTATAAACAGGTGTCAGCATGCCAGGCTATGAAGTCTTTTTAAATATAGCCTTGGCTGAGATAGAATGAATAGCAGTCATTACAGTTCCCTATGTAAGGGAATAAAGGGAGGAAAAGCTTAAGACGACAAGCAGGTACCCTTTGTGAGGTTACAGAGCAGCAAATTCAAGGATTAAAAAAATAGCTTAGAATGGAAGGGAGAGAAGCTTGGAGTATGGGCTGGGTTAAAGAGAAATGTGAGGTGTCCATGATCAAGGATGGGGGTAAGATTGAACAAGAAAGTATAGTTATAGCCTGCAGTCTTGGGAACTAGGAGACGTTTAAAAGTTTTAGTCTTCTCCAAAAAGTGGTAGTTCACCAAAGAAGAGGTTTTAGGAGAAGAGTAACTGGATTGATCTGATTTGGACTTTAGAAGAATTATTTTGAAATGTGGGATCTGTGGAGCAGAATTGTAAGACTTAGAAAAATTAACCCTTGGGAGATAGTCACAATGGTGGCCTGAAACAACAAGGCTACTCAAGGACACATTTTAGGTGATGGGTCATTTAGGAAGAAAGAACACAAGTTGATCAGGTTTGGGGCTGGCGAAATGACTCAAGGGTAAAGGTGCTTGCTGCCAAGCCTGGCAACCTGTGTCTCATATTGTTTACCTATGAATTAAGGAGCTCAGATGAGGTGACTTTTCAGCATGATTTTATGAAGTACAATAAATGGGGGTATATGCTAAATTCTAATTCAAGGAAGTCCTCATATTTTTCTAACACTAACATAAACTGAGATTCCCCAAACAACAACTGATTCTTTTGCTTTCCCACACCAATTCGAAATATAATAACAAATTATCAAAATTAGCCACCGCCACCGCCCCCCCAATCTTGTTGGGCGTATGTAGACATAGTTTACAACCACTAGGGGTCAGGATCTTCATGGATGGTTAATGCCCTTGGGAAGTTCCCAGTACACACTTTAGCCCTTGAATGCTTGGATTTTCTCAAGCTGTTCCTCTCCTTAGTTCCTGCTAATCATGCTGTGTAGTATTTATTTGCTTTGATGAAAGTGAGTATATACTGGGAACTTGCTGTCCTGAAAGCTGGAGTGGGTTTTCGTCAGTGCTTGGCATGCTCAGTGTCTTGGTTTCTTCCATAGTACTGTTTCATAATCCATATTTCAATACTGAAAGAATGTGTAAATGAGCCAGCTAACAGCAAAGGAAGGGGCCACAGCAAGCTCTCAGGAGGATCCACATATTCCCCTGAAGTGTTGAAGGAGTTGAAAAGACTTACTATGGAAGTGATTAATAGCTAGGAAACAATATGTATTCTTTTGAGGACCTGGTTTCTATTACAACTTTTTAAAACTTAAATCCCAGGATGCCAGAAAAAGATGTTGGATCTCCTGAGTTGTGAACAGTTATTAACCACTCTGTGGGTGCTGGGAGCTGAACCTGGGTCTTCTGCAAGAGCCCTTATTGCTCTTAACCACTGAGCCATCCTCTCCAGCTCTTCTGTTATCTTTTCCATAAAATTTGAGAACTTACTTGTAGATGTTCATGTCTATATTAATAAAAATAGTTCCTAATGATTTCTTTTCATTTTAAGGTAATTTTAAAAATACTACTTTTTAAAATTTTTATGTGTATGAGTATATTGCCTGCATGTAGATAGGTGCATCCATGCTGTGTAGTGCCCGCAGAGATTAGAAGAGGGCATCAGGTCCCCTGGAACTGGAGTTACGGACATTTTTTTAGCCACCAAGTGGGTGCTGGTAACTGAACCCGGCTCCTTTGCAAGAGCAACCAGTCCTCTAAACTGCTGAGCCTTCTCTCCAGCCCCTGAAATATATTCTTTATAGACACTTACACTGCTGGTTCCCAGGCCTGCAGCCTCTTCTGAGCCCCAGAGCAAGTCTTACTTCACTGTTCACTGGTCTGCAGTTCAAGCAGACCTTCTGTAGATACTGTAGGATGAGTGCATTAGAACTCACTCTCCCTCCCCTGAATCAACCTAACCTCTTCTCTGTCTTCTTTAATCTACTTCCCAGTCTCCATGCTTGACCTCAGAGCCTCTGACTGAGTCCATTTTTCTTTTCTTTAATAGTGTTTTTACTAATTCTTTGAGAATTTCATAGATGCATAGATGTATTTTGATCATATTCACCCCTGTTGTCCATTTTTCTTGCTGTACATCAGCACTGTAGTTTCCACTTCCTGTTCAGGTTTGGGGTGGAGGGTTAAAGAAAGGGCTGACTTAGATGCACTGGCCATTCCCCAAACCTTCTTTGATTCCATTTCAGGGATGCGTCTACATTTTTAGAAGACGTTTATTCGTGTGTGGATATATATTATCATGTTAGAGTTCAACTGTGTACCCAGTTCTTCCCATCTAAAATGTGGGTTCTGGAGATCAAACTCAGGTGTAGCTGCACGCACCCCTACTCTCTGAGCTGTCTCACTGGCTTCTAACAGATCCAGTCACAGTGCAGGGGAATTATTACCCTATTCTTCTCTTTCCCCAAATTTATGATGGTGTAGTAAATGTTCATTTTAATTTGCTTCCATTGATAGGCTTCATAGCTTGCTTTTGCATCATAAAACATAGCGTGATAGAAAATGTTTTAACCTTGTTCATGAAAATAGATGCCAAGATTTGAGTGATGAATCAGGATAGATAGCTGAATCCCCACAAAATGTTCAGTGATATGCAGTGAATAGCAGCTATATGTTTAAGGTTATCCTAGTGCTTGGTTCATTAAATAATAAAATGATGTCATTAGATGATAATAGGGTTAATGGCGTGTATGTAGCCAACACAGAAATAGATAAGGTATTGTTCTCTTTGAATTGCCTGTGGCAGTAAATTAGTCAGATTGTTTCTTGTGTTTAAACTATTCTGTCCTAATGGTGTAGTATCCTCCTTCACTGCATGTAGAGGAGGAAAAGCTTTTTTTCAGTTGGTTAAGTAGTTGTTTAAATTATTTTTGGTTTGAATTGGTATTTCTTCTGCATGGGGAAGGAAGCGAAAAAACCTGTGTTAGGGTGTTAGGAATCATTTAAATGCTATCAGTGTGGTGACTAGTATTCTAGCATCTTGTCCTTTATCTCTGAGTGATGTTCAGTTGAATTTCGACCTGTGGGCAGTGCATGTGTGGATCACCGCTCACCATCTCTCACTCATTTCTGCCTCTGCAGGTACATGGACTGTATCGCACAACAGGTGCTAGTTTTGAGAAGGCCCAGCAAGAGTTTGCAACAGGAGTGATGTCCAACAAAACTGTCCAGACTGCAGCTGCAAATGCAGCTTCAACGGCAGCAACCAGCGCAGCTCAGAATGCTTTCAAGGGTAACCAGATGTAGAAAACCTCCCAGCAGTCCACTGTTACCTTTTGACTGTACTTTTTTCTCCAGTTACTGTATTCTACAGATATTTTTATGTTGGAAACACACAGTACACAACAGCATGGGTATTTCCTATTCACAAGTGCATGGTCTAAAACCAGAGAAACTTCGTCATCTTATTACTTTGCCTAATAGTTTCTTAATATTTCCATGCCCCTCACAGAAGAAAATATTACATGCTAAATAAAATATTCTCCATATTTCTGGGGGATGATGTTCTGCAGATTATTTCAGTGGTAACACACTGAAATTAACATGTGACTTATGATTTAAAAATCACCCAATACTAACTATAGTAGTTCTTCCAAGAATCTAGAGATAAGGATTATACATTGGAAATTAAACCATGTTTGTTTCTTTTTTCTCTGTTAATATTGAAAGAGTGAGGCCATCAGAGACTTGCAGATTTTTAAATTGGCTTGCTTTCTATCAGGTTCCATCACCAGTGAAGAGCCTGTGTGCTTTGCAGTAGATAATGTATATTTTATCTTCTTTTCATTTTATTTTAGACTAGCTGATATTTTGATAACGATCTCTGATCTTGCATGGGCACCATGTTTCTTAAGTGAAACGAATTAGTATTTTGGGTTCTGTACTGCTGATAGTTGTAGGAACTGGGGTTGTTTATAGAATCAGAAGTGATTTTTCTGTAATAGTTTCTTTTAAGTAAAAATTTATCAGAGTATAAAGACTTTAATATAACGTGCAGTGCATTATCCAAAAAGAGAGGGTAGGTAATTGATACAATAGAATATAGTGACAATAATTCATTTTTCCCCCTCTTAATTTTCAGTATTCATATAGTAAAATTTTACTGTATGGAAACATTGGTATATTCTTGTGGCTAATCTTTTTAATTGAACTGGGATTATGTTTGGCAGCTTACGTGTGTGTGTGTGTATGTGTGTGTGTGTGTGTGTGTGTGTGTGTGTGTGTGTGTGTGTGTTTAATTCTGATAGGTACTACAGGCTAGCCTAACCCTTGAATAGAAAGAACATACAGTATTTAAGGGATTTTTCATTTAGCCCCTCATTTTAGTCGAATTAAAATAAAAAGGCCCTAGCATTTCTAATATACTTGAATTCTTAATGCACCCCATCTTTCACTTTTTGAGACAGACTAAAGAGGAAAACAAATTGTACCAAATAAGAAAATACAAAGTTAAATGCATTAATTATCAATGTAATGAGATTGAAATGGTTTCTATGTAGTGCAGACCTTCATTCTTATGGTATATGTGGATTCAAACTTTTTTTTTTTGTCTTTTTGAGACAGGGTCTCCTGTAGCCCCAGCTGGTCTGTAGCTCACTATGTAGAACAGGCTGGCCTTGAATTCACAGAGATCTGCCTGCCTCTGCCTCCCAAGTGCTGGGATTAAAGGCGTGTGCCACCGAACTTGGTGGATTCAAACTTTTAATAGTGATTAGATGACTCAAGAACATTTGTAAATCAGACTATTGTGTTTTGAAAGTCTTTTGCTAATTTTAGATTGTGAAATGATAGGCTGTGACTTATTGAAGTTGATTTTTAGGTAAGGATGGTCTACTAGATTATATTATCTGGGATGGAATATCTTTTTTAAATGATCTAAATGGTTAAGTTACCTTGTTCTTTTTCCCAAATCTGAAGTCAGAGGGAATTTCATGCTGGGGTTGGGTGCCAAGTTTTTAGGGTTTATGCAGAAACTCTGTGTTGTAACACATCTACTCAGATGGTGTTTACGTTTGATTTCTTTGGGAATTTACTGAGTAATATAGTTAGAAGATATTTCTTTTATTCTGAAGAAAGGACTCAATACAGGAATTTAAAGTTGTTTTTGTAAATTCTTCTGATCAGTGATAATCTCTACCCATTTCTCAAGCAGCTCAGCAGTTCTAGGTTTTGATCCTAAAGTCTTAATGAAAGCCTCTTTCATCCCATACTTTACTGAGTATGGATTTTACAGAAATTGAAAGCATTAACCATGGATTACAAGAGATTCAGATCCACCATTTCTTTTCCAAATCTATTTTTTCCTCTAAAGTACAATTAATAGATACATCAGAGATTAAAAAAAATATTAATATACTTTCCCTCAAAAACGAGAGAGGAGTGCTTTCTCTTTGTTTATGTAAAAGTATCTAAAGGTAGTGTCATTAAATGGCAAAGAGTAATTGAAACCCATGGCATGCATTTGTGTGTGTGAAGAAAATGCTGTTTTACAATCCAGTTGTTTGGGTTTGTTCAAGTTTGAGAGAGATTATGTTGCTTGAAAACATAAATGCGCATTAAAATGATGTCAATGCCTACAGTTTGATCAGTATGAAAGCAACCTTAAATTCCTGTATTTATTATTCTTTAACAACAGTCAATAGTGCATTTTTATTCAGTGAAAGTGTGTTAGTGCTTTCTACATAATGCCAGTATTACTTGGCATCACGGTCATGAAACAGACTTCATATAGAACAGACATCCACGTCACTCCTCAGTTTGTGATACTCACTTGTGGCTATTTTATTTCAAACTAAGGTCTGAACACTGGAAAAATCATTGCCCGGTGATTTGTGATTTGGGGCTTGGACTATTTATCTAGGGATGTTTGTATATTTTGTTGGCAATATTGCGCTGCCCTCACAGCGATTGTCTCGGTTCTGTGTAAATGCCCTCCATGTGTCCCTCAAATGTTGCATGTTTTTAGTGGTTTGGAAGTTTTGTATATTTATTGTATTAATGCAGAGTGTCATAAAATAAAATACTGTTTACTGGATGTTTGTTTGCTTAATTTTAAACACTGTATTGGCAGCTGAGAGGTAGAAATTAGTAGTTTCATATAGATAGAAATTTCACATTTGATTTTTAAAACCAATCTTTGTATCATTTTATCATGTACTAAACAGAATATAAAAGATTTAGTTTAAAGCCCTCAGCAGCACCAAGTGGCAATTTTTCTGTTGCATTAGAACTTTATTGGTTGTAGAACGTGAGCTTTGCCACATTCAATATCTTGACCACTTTGAGGTGGTCAAGCTCATTTAGAAGCTTGTTAGACTCTTGGCTTAGACTTTTCTCTGTGGGTTAAAATGGGTGCCTCTGTACAGGACTGTGTGGATTTAAGTGAGCCTGTGTTTGGTTCCTGACCATGCTTACTTGTTGCTCTTCTGTGCACTGATGAACAAACTGTTTGTGTATTGGATTTTTCACTTGATTACTGAAGAAGATGTAAAAGTATAGTCTAAAGTCGTGTTCATGGTGAATCTCATTTTGAGAAATACACGCTGAATTAAAATGAGAAGTAATGTTTTCTATTTTTTAATCTAAAAAAGGGGAGTTTGAATTTTCACACTTAGTTTGCTAAGAATATTCTGTGACTTGTGTTGAGATGGCTTACATTTTAAGGGGATTCTAATTAGGTTTATTAACTCCTGTCCATTCTAGATAATGTTTTTATATTTATTGCAACTTTTTCTGAAAACACGTCAACATCTAATTCTATATCGTTTTTAGTCATAGTTGTGCCTGTATTACCTAGTTTGTTACATTTTGAGCATTTTTCCCATTTTAAATAACTTAGAATTACCATGGCTGTCACAGTTTTCCTATATTTTCTTCCTTTTTTTCCTTTAAGGGGAATCTTTAAAGGAATCTGTAATTCCATGTGATTAAGCCGTTTAAAGATGAAGTGTTAATTTAAAATAATTGAGGGTGGCTAAAATTAGCAGAGGCCTTTGGTAGATTTTCAAGTACCATAGCATATTTATAGTAGAATAATATGTTTTAAAACACTGGAGCTCTAAAATAGTTTTATTAATTTTCAAGTTATATACATATTTTTATTTTATTTTTAAACTCAGATTTTTAAACATTTTATTATTTTTGTTTTATGTGTATGAATGTATTGCCTGCATGTGTATAAGTACACCAATGTCATGCAAGCCTGAGGAGGTCAGAAGAAAGCATTGGATCCTCTGGAACTGGAGTTACAGATGGTTGTTAGCTACCATGTGGGTGCTAGAAATTGAACCGGGGCCCTCTGCAAGAGCAGTCAGTGCTCTTAACCACTGAGCCATCTCTCTAGCCCTATATTTTTATTTTTTTTTACAAGTATTTTTTATTAAACTAATAAGTTGTACCTCAGTGATCAAGTGTTAGGGAAATTGAAGTATTTATGAAAATTTTAGAGTACATGTTACAAAACTGTGCTTGTGGCATTGGTGGATCTTTCGGGGGGGGTCTTTTTGAGTCAGGGTCTCCCTGTAGCCCCAGCTATCCTGGAATTCACTATGTAGACCAGGCTGGCCTTAAACTCACAGAGATCCGCCTGCCTCTGCCTCTGCCTCCCAAGTGCTGGGATTAAAGGTGTGCACCACCACGTCCAGCTGGTGGATCTTTTTAAAACATACTTAGACTGGGTGTGGTGGCACATATCTATAATTCAGGCACGTAAGAGTTAGAGGCAGGCAGATCTCTGTGAGTTTGAGGCCAGCCTGGTCTACATAGTGAGTTCTAGGCCAGTTACAGTGAGAGCCTGTGTCAAAGAGGGGGAGGAGGAGGGGAGGGAGAAGGAGGATCACCTCCTCTCCTCCCCATTTAGGACTTTATCACAGTATACAGGGAGCTAGAAAAAAATCTATAGAAACTTTCTAAGCCAGGCACTGCCGCTAGCATACCCTGGATCGGAACATTTCTCTAAAGTCTTTGAAGACAGGGAATGGCTGTTCTCTAGTTTTCTTCTGCTTCCCGTGGCTTTTGTTATTTATAATTAACTTCCTGGTTTGGTTAGAACCTATAGAATTTTTATTAGCTCAGTTGATGTTTTCAAATGGCATGGGAACATGGGAGCCACCGGGTGGCAGTGCAAGGAGATTTCTTCAAATTCTGCTTTACTTTTTAGCTCTGATATTTCTGGGCTTGACACAGTTGCTTGGTATAGCTAAAATACTCCGTATGCTCAAACCCTTTTAATCTTTTTTTCCAGGAGAGACAGAAAAAGAGTTCATTTTCTTCTACTTATTAACATTTTCTTATAATGCTAACTCACATTTCTTTAAGACCATTCTGAATATGACCTTCTCTACATGAAAACAGTTTTAACTTAGAATTATACCATGTAGGCTTTATTTTTAAGCCCCAGTGTAGTGTTTAGTACTTAGATATAATTCCTCCTCAACCGTTGATTTTTGTGGGCCAGCAATTCTCAAGATAAATGATAGCTGAAGTTCTTGTTAGTGTTGACAGTCTGTGGCAGTACCCAGGTATTTACAGGAGCGGGAGAAAAACAACCAAAACCACTGTCCTTTATCTGGTAGTAGCAGTGTTCCAGACTTCTCTGGAGACCAAGCTTTCTGGGGTGTGCGCACCCTTAAAACTGCTTCCTTCACGTGAAAACAGTATATACACATTGGCTGTAGGACATTTGGAAAATGTAGGAAGTGATAAATGAGAAAACAAAGCCTCACTTCTATCACCCAGGGATACTACTGCTAATATTTTAGTGTTCTTTTTCCCATTCTTTTCCTATGCATTTGTATTTGATGGAGTTAAGGCATATAAGTAGGATCCACTCAAAATTCTATTTTCCCTCACTTAGCATTATGTTGTAATGATTTGATGGTTATGAAATTAGCGTTTAAATTTTATTACACATTTCAGTGTAAGTTGTAGACAATATCAGCAGAAGCAGATAACTGAAATTGCTCAGTTTTATATTTCTAAGTAACTTTTACTGTCTGGCTTATAATTTTTTATTAATTTTTCTAGGAAAACAAGCTCTTACTAAAGCTAGTCAATGAGATTGCCCTGCATGTGCTTCGCACGCCCGTCATCGACACATACCTTGTTGTTGCACAAGCCTCGTTTCTTTGGGCCCCTGAAGACCACGTTGACACTGGATGCTGTCTAGCATAAATAAATCTTAAAAACAAAAATGATATATACAGACAGCACGCCTTCCTCATCACATTTTTATTCTCAATGTAGATGTATCCAGAACTCTCCTGCTGCAGAAATGAACATATGGGGCAGTCATACTGTACCATGAAGAAGGAACCATCAACCAACACAGATGGCAGTTTTACAGTGAGATGTAAATCGAGGCAGGCAGGAGTGCATATATATTAATATATATTAATATATATATTAAAAACGTTATGTGTATGAGTGGTTTGTGCAGTGTCCACGGAGGCCAAAAGAGGGTGTCAAATCCCTGGAACCGAATTACACACAGTTATGAGTTGTGGCTACTAAGAGCCAAACTCTGGTCCTCTGCAAGAACAGCAAGTGTTCCTTAACCACTTAGCCATTTCTTTAGTCCCTCAACTAAAGACTCTTAACCCACAATGGTTTGTTAACTTTTTTCCAGTTACTATATAAATATATAATAAACATTTTTATATTCTGAATAATTCTTATAACATTTAGTAACTATCATCCAAATCTTTTTTTCTTTTTAGATTCTGATTTTCAGGGGTTTTTTTTTATTAGAAATGATTTATCAAAGAATGTACTGTTGCTAAATGTTGGGGCTTAAGCTTTTTTTGTTCTTAGGACAAATTTCTGGGCTTAAATGTGTGTGTGTGTGTGTGTGTGTGCACGCGCGCGCCTAGGCATGCTGTATGGTTTTTATGTTTGTTTTGAGACAGGGTCTCACTGTGTAGCCCTGGCTGACCTGGAACTCACTTTGTTGACCAGGCTGGCCTTGAACTCAGAGATCCACCTGCTTCTGCCCTCCTGAGTGCTGGGATTAAGTATGTATGTTTTTAAAAAACTGGTTGCAAAATTACATTCCAGAAAGAATTTGTAATTGCAAAATTACACTCCAGAAAGAATTTATCACTTTGTTTCCGTCAGCTGAAACCCTAGCCGACACTGGATTTTTCCTTTTCCAAAAATTATTTTATTCCAGTAAAATTGGACAAGTAACCGAGATGTCTAATTTTTGATTTTGCTAAGTAAGAATAACTGTGCGTCCTGCATCTAGTGTACTCTTCTACCAGAAAGCTGTAAGGTTAAGATGATTAGCTGAATGCTCTATCATAACAAGATGCAAAAAGCCCTAGTGGCCTGGTATTTTTTTTTTTATTTCTTTAGGGTTCTGTTCAGTTCCATAGTCCTTTTTTTTTTTAAAAAAAATATTTTATTATTTTTATTTATTTTCTATGTGTAGAGTGTATTGCCTGCATGTGTTAAGTGTACCCATGTTGTGCAATGTCCATGGAGGTCAGAAGAAAGCAGTGGATCTCCTGGAACTGGAGTTATGAAGGTTATTAGCTGCCATGTGGATGCTGGGAACTGAACCTGTGTCCTCTGCAAGAGCAGTCAGTACTCTTAACCACTGAGCCATCTCTCCAGATCCATAAAGTGTAATTTGTAAATGCAACTTCAAATGATATTAGTCTGGTAAGATAGGATTCTCTTGGTGTTCTTGAAATATTAAGGACGTAAGAGATTAGTGTAAGAGTTTTACATATGTCCCTCAGTCCTTACACCAAGTCTGTGATATAATTGATGCTTTTCACCATTTTTATAGAGGACTAGGCTACTACCCCAAAGTAATTCTGTGAGTGATGCTGGTGAAGATCCAAAGAAGTTGGAGCCACTAGGGTTCCCTGACTTCTCTCCGGCTCTGTGTTCCCTCTCGCCTTTCCACATGTTCAGTAACGCATGTCTGTCCTTTAGGGACAACAGACCTTAGGAAAAGGATCATTAACCAAGAAAAAAATGGCAGTTTTTTACATCTGACCAAAGGCCTGCAAGTGAATCCTGTGTCCTGCTTGTTGCATTGTGGGGGTAAATGGTCTTTGGCATTTGTCTGGAGAAACTTTAGTTGAGGACAGAGCCTTAATTATTAGGTTATTTATGCTTCTTACATGATCCTAATAGCTGCTTATCATGGATAGTTTTACTAAAACAATGAAAATAGTCGAAGCCCACTGTGTTTTTTTGTTCATTTGTTTTTGTTTTGTTCTGTTTTACGATGGTCAAGGATCGGATGGATTGTTAGTGTGTCTTCAGAATTGAACTGAATTCGTCAGTTGGTGAGTTAAAACACATGGTGTCATCTTTAGAAGTATGAGAAACTGCTAGGCTTTCCTCTGAAGGTCAGGGGGAGAGTGTTTCCACAATTGGGGTCTTCCAATGTGGCCCTTATGGAAGCAACAGCTGAAGGTATTCAAAGTGTTTGCCACACCAAGGCAGTGTGCTCAGCATGGGCAAGGAAACAGGACAGCCCTTTGTCAAACCTGCATTTGAACCTTGGTTTTGTCGAAATTTATTATTGCATGTATATGAGTGTATTGTATACATGGTAAGTGTACCTATGTCATGCAATGCCCGAGGAGGTCAGAAGAGAGCATTGGATTCCCCTGGACTTGAATTACAGATGGTTGTTATAGCCATGTGGGCGCTGGGAATCGAATCCAGGTCCTCTGCAAGAGCAGCCCATGCTCTTAACCCCCGAGTCATCTCTCCAGCCCCACTTACTAGCTTTCTAACCTGAGAAGTAAAGAACTTCACTGAAGTTACATAAATGGCAGCTACTTACCTATAGGATTTGGTGAAGAATTATATGAAGTGATCACAGTGTGTACAATAAAGCAAACCAAGTGTGGTCTGTGTGTACCTCTGGCTCTGACCTTGTCTTCTATAGGGTTTGTTCACAGCTGCACACAAGTAGCCTCCAGTGGCAGCCTCACTGTCCTTGCTTCAGGCACCTCAGCCTTGGTGACTATGTCATTTCCCACCCGGGGTCCACACTCAATGCCTGTAATCACCCTGGACTCCCCTCCATCCCCCACTGCTGCTGCAGTTTGCAGGCTGTCCATTCTTTCCTTTAATTCCCCAAATTCACCCTCATGTCTTCACTCTCACTGACTTAATTTGGACTTGCTTTTCTGTAGAAATGACTAGAGGTTTCTCTCAAATGTTGGCACCTTAGGAACTGCCTGCTTGTAGATGTTGGATCTTTTAGGATGTATGGCTATAAAAAAGCTGCTAATGGCAGCATGGTGTTTGAAAGACTTCTTTCCATGTGGTTTTAATTTTTCCACTTCCTCTGTTTGTGCCTTTATCTGTATCCTGTGTACCTAAGCAAAATTAGTATTACACATCTCGAAGACTTTTGTGGAACCCTTCACACCAAGCAGAGGAAGCTGGAAGAAAGAAGATAGGAGCAACAGCGGTGGGGTGGCCGCACAAAAGACTACACTGCTGGGAAGGGGCCGTCCTGAAGCCAGTTCTGTCTGTTGCTTTTGAGAGCAGACCTCTGTTTGCTGCAATTCCCCTACCTTTAGTGCACGGAGTCCAAAAATGATCGATAATATCCACACAAAAGAAATTTCCTGGTAATCAATACTGTCATTTTTGGTGCTGTTGTTCAGCAGACTATAAGAGGAAGTTGAATATGTTTTTCAGGAATATCTAGTGGCAGAATTGCTCGGTTAGAAACTAAAGATGGGCTGGAGTGGTGGGTCATTTTTAAGAGTGGACCTAATGAGGACCTAAGCTCCCACATAAAAACTGGGAATTGCTGCACATGCTTTTAGTCCCAGGGTTGAGGGTGGTGGTAGAGGCAGGCAGATCCTGGGGTCTCACTGACCAGCCAGCCAGCCTAGTCCAGTTTCAGGTTCAGTGAGAAACCCTGTCTCAAAAAAATAAGGTGAAGAATGGTGTTATATAAAGACATCTGATGCCCTATGCTGGGCTCTGCGTGTGTGTGTGCCCACGCGCGTGCACCAACACCTACACCCCTTCCCCCCATGCACAAACCAAGGAAAGAAAGCACATGGGCAGGCTTCCCAGCCTCCACAAAAATTGAATTCATGCTTTTTCCTGTGGATTAACTTTTGAGAAAGGTAAAACATTTGAAAAAGCAACTGAAAAGTTCTGTTTTTCCTTAGATTATTCAGATGATTTGTTTCAAAGTTGTTTTCTTTAGTGATGGGTAATTTTGTTGCTCTTAATTTTGATTTCACTAGAAACCTGGTGGTGGCCATTTATGTTCAGAAAGCAAAACATGGATGTACTTCATCACAAGCCCCAGATCAGGGAAGAAATAGCTATCTTTGTTTATTCTGAAAATAAGTGCGGAGTTGAATGAGTTTATGGGAAGGGTCTTTAGAATCATCTTTGAGTTTAGACATTAAAGCCTAGGCGTTCTAAGTGCGGTTACTTAGGCAGGGTCCCATCTAGGGACTGTGGATGTGGAACTGCTCCATATGTCTGGCTTTTAAGTAGTTCAGGGGTTTTTTGTTTAATTTTATGAGTGCCTGCAAAAATTTAAGTGCACCACATGCATGCAATGCTCGTGGAGGTTAGAAGAGGGCGTTGGAGCCCATGGACTGGAGTTATAGACTATTGTTAGCTGCCATCTGGGTGCTGGAAACAAACTGGGGTCTTCTGTAAGAGCAGCCAGTGCTCTTAACTACTAAGCCATCTCTCCAGCCCCGATAGGTATTTTTTGATTAAATTATATATACTATATTGAAACCAACATATTCAAACTTGAATTTGCAAAATCTGATTTAATTCAGATCTGAAGAAGGGAAGGGAGCACAATGTGAAAATACATATGTACAAAATCCTAATCAATGCTAGACAATGCATTAGTTTACAATATAATAGGATAACCACAAATTTGAAGGCTCCCATTGAGTCCATCAGCTGTAAATACAATTTTTTATTTGGCTCAAGTGGCTATTGAATATCAAGTGGTGCCAAGTTCCTTCAAAGCACCTAAGGACTCCCTCAGCCTTAGAAGGAGTTTCACCACAGTATCAGAAATCCCAGTCATCCCTTTCATTCTTTTGGCCCTTGGGAGTCTTTGCTACCCAAACACAAATGCAGGCCTGGGATTTCCAGTGGCCACATGTTATTGCACAGAATGGTCTGTCCTAAGTCAGACTCTTATGGCTAAGAAGGTGTGAGACTAGCCCTTAAATAGTGGTCTAGCATTAGCATGGTCTATAAAAACATTAAGAAATAGCTCCTCAGTGAGTATGTACCAACTACGAGTTATCACGCTAACAGAAAAGGCAACATGGCAGCTTCACATTTCACAAGAAAGACTAGCATTGACTGGGCCTGGCTTGCTGACTTCACATAAATACAGTGATTATTTTCATTTAGACCCAGGAGAAAATGATTCATACCAGTATTTTCTTCACAGATTTGTGTAGCATTAAAATTGTCATGGGCTAATGACTAGCCATGAAGGCAAAAATGTGGAACTCTCTTTTGTCAAAACAGAGACATCCATGTTTTGACTCCTGTCCAGTTTCCCCAAAACATACATACACCTTTGTTATTGCACATCTTTCACATAAACTTGTGTATGTATAATATATATATATTTTAAATATGCTACACATAAAAAAGACTATGGCACTTTACAGAATACATGTTAAACAAAAATCATTCATTACACCACAGATGTTTGAAAACTATACAAAAACGCTTACACAATATAACATTGTTGAATTAGCACACAGGTTTAAAGAATCCACAGACTCCAGAGCAAACATTTCTGCTTTAGAGTTCATTGAGAAGCCCAGCCCATTACAATACTTTAAGCACAAATGCATGCAAAATAAATAAGACTTTTCTGGTAGTAATGGTCCTATTATCAGATAAATGGGTATAGGTCAACAAGTGGTTTTTAAAGAGCCATGCAGAGGACTTTTGGTCTAGATTAGCATAATTTTAGATGATCCTTTCCTTACAAAGTCTGTGTACTGGTTTAAAGGTCTAACAGACCCAGTATTATCTTTTACTCTCCTAAAAAATTCAGTCTCTACTGTTATATTAAATGAGCATTTAGGTAGTTTTTAATGGTGTGGCATTTTGTTTGTGCATGTGCCTTTTTTGGTCTCTAACATTAAACACTGGGAAGTGACTTTCTTCTGGTAGAGAAGTTACATCTTCATTTGTGACTGTTACCAGGTTGACCTATGGACCACTGCCACCTTACCCAAAGAGCAGATGACAGACGTGCTCAGAGGATCCTCTGGGCTTAGGACTTGTGTTTGAGAAAGAGGTCAAGATTGCAAAACTAGTATTGGAAACACTATATATTATTAAAAAAGTTTAATCTGGTAAGTTTAAGGAAAATGTTTTTGTCAAGATTTGCCTGATGAACGAAACTACAGTCTTGCCCAAGTTGGAAAACCAGTGACTATGTTGGCAGAGGACTTGTTCAGATCATCATCAAAGCAGTGCAGGACAGGAGCCATCTTCCACTAGCTCCATGGCCTGTGCCTACATGGTTAGTGACCTGTCAGTGTTTCCTGAGCCTTTCCTTGGGTTGCTTAGGGGGGGCCCCTTCTCCCCCACCCTTCTCTCTTCAAAGAAGCCACAGGATTTCTTTTTTTTACTTATTTTGAACTTTTGTTCAAAACTGAACTTATTCTGATCTGGTCAACTTCCTTCTTCCCTTAGTCTTTATCTGTGAGAGATGAAAGATACTTTCTGGTATAGGCCAAAGGCCAAATAAACTGTAATTAGATTTTAGTGGTCCCAACCCATCTATATGTCAGGCAACTGTTCTGTACTAAGGCCTAATTCTAAACTGGCACAACTTTAAGACAGTTCACTGGGGCAAAGTTGTAAATTCTGAGGCAGGGTTTTATATACTTGGTTATATTTAGCACACAATGCTTGCCAGCAAAAGGTGTTTAACTAATTTACTTAAGAGAAAGCCCTCAATTGAACAAATCTATAAAGCCAACTCAGGACCACTCCACTTAGTTGCTGTAGAGCGTCTTTCTGTCTGCAAGGCTCATGTACTACACTATATTATTTCTGGGAACTTTGACCATTTTCCTTCTTCCTGAATCAGTTATATGGGTAATTTATATAAACTGGATTAAAAGCCTAGAATCGTTTTTAATAGTGGCATTTGTTTTGTAAACAGGCACAGGCAGGTGCTGTGAGCTTGCTCTAGCTCCTGTTTTTGCACTAACTCTTTAATGTGTGTCCCTGGGGATGGAATTTTGGATGCTTTTAGATCAATACAAGGAACTAGTTCCTTTTTCTCTTCAAAGAATGCCATTGGGCTGCTGATAGGATTGGAAGCCAGTGACTACACAGCACTGTAACCAAACAGGTTGCCCCAACAGATGCTGAGGTTCTGGCAGTCCATCCCTGTGAATGTCTGCATGAGCCCCAGCTGGTTTGGGAACCGCTGTCCTTGGAAGGTGGAAACAGGGAGGTTTCCTTGGGCAGTCCAGCACAGCCCTAACCACAGGAGAAAAACTGACTGCAGGGAGAGAAGATTGGGCTAGTATGCACATTAGGCTGGCTGCCGGGAGCAGGAATCTGTCTGCCAAGGGTTTATACTTTTATCCGATTATCCTTACATGATTGTCTTTCTTTACTCAAAAATTCCTCAAATCCTGATGACAGGTCCATTGATCTACCTCACTCTGGAACACTGCCTAGAGTAAGCTGTACAGCAGGACTCTGCACTGTCCCTGTTAAGTACTTTGGTCAGCTAAGCAAAACCTGGTATCTTGCTGTGACCTTCAGCATACAACCTATACCCAGTAAGTCTGTAATCTTTCTGTTAGTCTCCAACTGAGGCAACTTGAAAGAACCAGGAAGAAAACCAAGATAACAACCCCAGCCCTCATTCTGAGATGCTCATAGGCATGCAGCTGTGGGCCAGAAACCTGCCTCAAGCAACCTATGAGGCTGGCTGACCTCTTCTCTGCTGCCAGAGAGATTGCCATCTGCCTTGATGAGTCAGATCGCTATCCTTCATTGAGCCCTGGGGAGATGGAGTCTGACAGCACTCCACAGTCGGGCTGTTAACCATGTCTGCATGCAGTCTCGTTAGCTGCACCGCAGCCCTCATGTCCAATAACTCTGCTTAGTGGGTGGTGCCCTCGCTGTTCCCTCGAAGGCCTGGGGCTGTGGAATGTGCCTCTGGTAGGTCAAAGCTGGTTCTTCACTTGATTCAAACATTGAAGACTGTTTCACAAGATCATGAAAGAAAACAGCGTCAGTGTCTCTTCCAGACTAAAGGAGGCAGATAAGATTTTTCCCCTCTTCAATTTCTTCCTGTACTTTGTCACTGGAGGTTGCAATTTCTGCTTGTGCAGAGAAGACGGCACAGATGAATGTGAGGACTGTGCCCCCAATGGCAGTATAAAAGGCCCAGCCCAAGGAGCAGTCTCCGGGTTTGTAGGCAGATGCATAATGTCCACAATAGTCTATGGCTTTCTGGCAGCCCCAGCCCGCAGGATAGAGTATTAAACCAAGGATAAGGAACAGACCTGTGGGACAGAGAGAAAACAGGTGAAGCCCTCTGATGCCTCTACAACGCACAGCACCTGCTCCCGTATGCCCTAGTAATTGCTTGCTTTGGGCAATGGCCTCTGTTCTGCAATAGAGAGTGTTAGTGACTTTTGTATACAAGGAATATGACCTGAACAAGTGTCACTTTACTGTGTACATTTTTGGTATGGGAATGTAACTCAGTGGTGAGCTTGCCTAGACATATTTTCAGCTACTTTGTATATGTTGGAATGTAAGCCCACTAGTGATTTCTAGAAAAGCTGGCTTCTTACTATTTCTTTGCACAGGGTTCTACAGCAGTAAGCAAAGGTTGGCAAACTAACGCCAAATGTGTCTTTGTAAATAAAGGTTTATTAGAATACATCTATGCTCACTTGTTTACAGACTTCCTATGAATACTCTGGTGATGGAATGGCAGAGTTGAGTGGCTGCTTCAGACCATGTGGTCGACAAAACACAAATTATTTCCTATCTGACTTTTTGCAGAAAGACTTTGCTTACTGTTGGTCTAAACAAATTCACCCCAAACCATCTGACCTCAGCCTGGTTAAAGGCAAAAACAGGAGACTTGAAGGAGACCAGATCTTAACCTATGCCCATAAGAAGTCTGTCTGATCTGCATATCTTGAGGTATGCCCATGCCTATTTAGAAGCAAATTGCAAATTTCATTGAGATTTTTCTGTCTGGATGGTTTTTAAGTGAACTCAGCTTTGCATAGGCACTAACAAGCTTGAATCCCGCTTAGCTGCAACCCTGTCACCCTGTCACACACAGTAAGCACCCTTTTCTGTTCCTCAAAACTTCTTGTTCACAGATCAATTTACCTGATGAACACAGACGTGAAACTTCTCAAAATACTTTCAAATTAAACCAAATTCAGCATCATTAAAAAGACCATACACCATGCTCATCTTGGTTTAATTTCAGAGATCCATGGATGGTTCAATATATGTTAGTCAATAAATATAATATAGCATGTGAATAAGGTAGGGAAGTCACACTGTCATCTCAATTGATACATAAAAGGTCTTTCACAAACTTTGACATACCTTCATGTTAAAATTCTTGAAGGAATACACATCAATAAGGCTATATATGACAAACATATAGTAAATGGGGAAACCAGACCATTTCCTCTAAATTCAGGGACAAGACAAGTGTCTATTCCAGTCTTACTCAAAAGTGTGCTTGAAGTCTTAGCCAAAGCAATAAGGTAAGAGAAAGAAATAAAAGGGGTTCAAATAGGAAAGGGAGAATGCCAATTGTCCCTGTTTGCAGATCACATCCTATACTTAAAACATGCTAAATCTTCATCAGAAAACTCTTAGAATTGATACATGCATTTAGCAAAGCAGCAAGATTCAAAATTACATACAAAAATTAGCTTTCTATATTGGCTAGTAATGAACATACTGAAAAAGAAACCCAGACGGCAAAAAAAAAAAAACCACCATAAAAACCTCTAGTAAACAGAATAAGAATTCAGAGAGCAAGAGGCCACATAGTGCTTGTATTAGTTACTTTTCTGTTGCTGTGACAGAAACACTGACCAAAGCAACTCATAGAAGGAAGAGTTTGAGATTATGGTTCCAGGGGAATTACAGTTTTTCATGGTGGGGAGGCATGGTGGCAGAAGGTGGCTGGAACAGGAGCAGGAAGCAAGACAACTCTCTAAGCCTGCCCCCAGTGATGTGCTTCCTCCAGCATGGCCACACTTTCTAAGACTACCCAAAACAGTGCCACCAACAGGGGACAAAATGTCCAAATACTTGGAGCCTATTGGGGATACTCACTCAAACCACCACAGTGCTTATCCCTGAATAGGATACCTATATCAAACTTCTGCCTCCCAAGGCTTAGGGACCATTTTGGAAGAAGGGGGTGGAAAGGCTGTAAAAGCAAGAGGTGGTGGATGAGCCCAGGGAAACCGAGTTTTTCAAGACAGCAGAGTGGTTACTCATACGAATTCACAGCAATAGTGACAACATGCACAAGTCCCAGGTAAACTCAAGCCAGACAAGATCCCAGCCTGGGTATGGGGAGGTGGGTAAGAAACCCCAATCCTTCAGGAGGAACTGTTGGCAACCAGTGGCTGCTGGGAGGGGGAAAAGTCGGTCTTATTTAAGGGTATGACACTTGGTAGATTGACCAGGCTCCAGTGGATGGAAGCACACTGAACGGCACTTGGGGACACAAGTCTGATTCTATAGGCCTTAATTTATACACACAAACACACAGAATAGAGTACATGAAATTGGGGTGGGGGGCTAGTAGGAGAGGGTGCAGATGGAGGAGGGGATCTAAATTTAATCAAAATATATTGTATGAAAATTACAAAAATTAAGTAAAAAACCAAACAGCTGGGTGTGGTGGTGCACGCCTTTAATCCCAGCACTGGGAGGCAGAGGCAGAGTTGAAGGCCAGCCTGGTTTACATAGTGAGTTCCAGGTATTGTGAGTTCCAGGTCAGCTGGGGCTACAGGGAGATCCAGTCTCAAAAAAAGACCTTAAAAAAAAAAAAAAGATAAACAACAACAAAATCCCACCAAACTCCTTAGAATAAATCTGACCAACAAGGTCAAACCTCTATGATGAAAATTTTAAAACACTAAAGAAGGAAATTGAAGACATTAGAAGTTGTACAATGGACATGGGCTGGCAGAATTAACTTTGTGAAAATGGCAACATTACAAAAAGAGATCCACAGGTTCAATGCAAAATTCCATCCAGATTCCAATGACATTCTTCATATAACTAGAAAAATAGAATTCTAAAATTCACATGTATAAAAGGGGGCAGTTAGCCAAAGCAATTGTAAGAAGGAAGAGAAATGCCAGTAATATCACAATGCCTCATTTCACATTATCCTACAGAGCCATAATAACAAAAACAGCATGGCACTTGTACAAAAACAGACACGTAGATCAAATAACTAGAATAGAGGACCTAGAAATAAACCCGTGCAGCTACAGTTATTTGATTTCCAATGCAAGTGTCAAGAACACACTGGGGAATAGACATTCTCATCAACAAATGGTGGAGAAACTGGATATTAACGTGTAGAAGAATGAAACTGCATCCCTATCTTTTACCTGAACAAAAATCACTTCAAAATAAGACTGAAGACCTTAATGTAAGACCTGAAACTAGAAGAGGAAATACCTCAAGATACATGCATAAGGACATACTTTCTGAAAATGGTAAGAACAAGGCAGAGAGCGACAGAGCAGGACACCTGAAGTCCATCTCTGGCCTCCATACACCACACATAAATGTAATAACAAAAATAAGTTAAATATTCTTGGACATCAGTGAACTGGCAATTCAGAACTGCTTTGAGATTCTATCTAACCCTTGCAGAATGGCTATCATTAAACAAACAGCAAATGGTGGGGTAGGGAGAACCTTTGGTGGGGACATACTTCAGCCACTGTGGAAATTAGTATGGAGGTTTCTCAAAAAACTAAAAATAGACTATGATCCAGCTAGATCATGCTAATCTGCAGATAGCAGTGTTGCAATAAACTTGGAAGTGCAAGTATCTCTATTTACAGCGGCCAAGTTATAGATAAAGTGACACATACATAAAGAAGAATGAAATATGTCATTTTCAGGAAAATAGTTTGAACTGGAGACCATCCTATTAAGTGAAATAAGTCAGATTCAGAAACACAAATAGTACATTTTTCTCATGTGGAATCTAGGTTACGTATGTGTATATATACTTGATATGATAGTGTAAGGGGTGGGGGACTGGATGGGAAAAGGAAGGGGTCAGTGTCTTTGAAATGACAAGGTACTGGGAAGATAGTGATCAAAGTATAAGATTTGCATGCATGAAAATGTTATAATGAAACCCATTATTTTGTACAATGAATATATGCTAATTAGAGAAAAGTAATTTCTCCATCAAACAAAACTGGAGCATAGATGAATAGCCTGATACCAGAGTTAAGCCTTAAGTAGAACTTTCCCATATAGAAACACAAGTAGTTGGAAGTCTACTCCCTTTCATAAAAGGACCAGCTTACTGTTGGTGTATTTCCAAAGGTATAATAATGTGGGCAGAGGGAAAGATACAAGGCTAAGAGGCTACAATGTATACCCTTGAAAGAAAAGTCAGCAGCTGAACAGGTTTTCTCAACAGGGAGATCTAAAATGACTTACCCAGTTCTTAAATATTTTGAAGGCCTATGACAAACTCCAGTTAATCCTGTCCAAATCCACCTTGTCCTTGATGCAGCTGCCCAAAGGTACCTATGAGATCTTGTTGGTTTCTTCCTTCTAGGTCCTAAGTGGCTACCCTGAGAACCCAGGGCACCACAGCTGGGCCTTCTACAGAGTCCCCTTGTGCTGGCTCAAAAGTACCCTGTTGCCTCTCCAAGCGTGGACCTTCAACAAGGGCACTGCTCTTCTCCACAGAAGACCAAAGTGTTCATTTTTTGTAGTTCCAGTTAAATAGTAATTGCTCATTTCATTTGGCACCCTGTTCTAGCTTATTGGGCAGTACACAAAATACCTTAATTTGGCTAGTGGGATCCTGTTAGGAAGTCACTTTAAAAGATATCTTTCCTTTAATAGCATCAGACCCTCCTTTGGAAGTCTGACAAGCCCAGCCAGGAACATTTCTTTCTGTTCCTTGTACTGCAGACTATCTGAAAGTCTTGTGGCTGCTACTAACTTAATTTGTGAATAAGGACAGCAGGGGACTTTATCACAGAATGGTGCCATGTTTGAATCTATCAAAAGCCTCAACTTGGATATATGCTCATAGGAAAGTCCACATGGATAGGTGATTAAAAAGTGTGCTGTGGTTCATCTACCCAGTGAACGTGGTGTACAGCAACAGCAGCCACCTACTTCCCCCAGCCTAGCAGCCAGCCCAGAAACACCAAGAGAATGCCTCATGCCCTTCTTAGCATGCCAGTGGGAGGAGCCACCCTGTCCACTGCCCTGGCTGATGGGCCTCTACTGTCAG